CAATGTTACAAAACATGATTGTTTTAAAAAGGTTTCCCTGATCACAGTTACATCTATAAAATCGTTGAATGAGTGGTGAAAAAAAAAGCAGAAAGACCAGCTCATGTACTGTTGTATCTAGCCTACTACACTACACTGATATTGATAAGTCAGGAAAAGATAAAATTTTAAGGAAACTGTTGGTGATAGTCTATAGGGAGAATGCTCTGTCAAACACCTTTCTTAGTGACCACTCCCGACTACCTTTCTTCTATCTATTGCAAATCGGTATATGCTTGGATGGTCGGTATTAACACTATCCACCCACGCAGTGTGCGCAACACTTGTCCCCACGGACCAGGATGTAGATACAGTACATCAGCACTATATCTCTATCACAGCAAAAATAAACCAACCAATATGAAATTTTCGGTACTTTGAGAAAATTTAACGTGATGATCGCATGTTCACCAAAAAAGGAATAAGAATCGGAACTGAAAACATTAGATCTAGCTCATTCATCACCAGAATTCTCATCATGGCGTAAGTATAAATCAGCACTTATGCCAGGTCTACTCGACATTTTTCATAAAAATTTACTCCAATAGTTTTAAAAACCGAACTTTCTGCCCACGGCGCACAAGCAGTGGAATTTTAGTTGCCGAGAGGGGTTCCCCGCCGGGCGCCTTATCACGTCGGGGTCACGGAGGTCAGCTCCCTGTCGTCGCTCTGTCCGGGCCGACTTAATTTTTGGTACTTTTCAACGTACAATTTAACTTTTAAGGTGTATGGTATCCTGGTATTTATGGTAATTCTCATTTAGTGCACCCAAAGCATGCATTTCTGCTCTTGAGACTCAAAAAAGAACAGACGTTGTAACTTGTCTGGTTATTTCGTTAGACGCGCTGGAGTCGGCAATGCTAAATTGTAATTTTTTTTTGACTAGCGTTAACGAACAAAAATCAATACAGTAGTCTCCGCCTAAACGCACGGTGCTCGGGAGGGCTCCTTAGCGTGTGTTTATACGGAGCTTGCGTTTACATAAATCTTTGCAAGGGGAGGAAGGGACGCAGTCATCTCATTGCCTTGATATTCTAGTGACCTCCCTTTGGGGTGGGGGTCACTTTGGGCCGATAATGTGACGACACGTGACTGTTTTGTAAAAGATTCCCAGACTGCGGTTAAGACTGCAAAGGCGTTGAATGGGTGTGTGTGTGGGGGGGGCAGAAAGACAGACTCGATGTAATGAATGCGCCATAAAATGTCGGGAACCAATAGCCTAAAAAGAAATTGTTGGTGATAGTCAAAGAGACGATGGCCCAGCCACGTGGCTTTCCAAGCGACCACCCCCGACCGTAAATTCATGAACGAGCATTCACGCGTGTTGCGCATCATAGGCATAGGTCTAACTAAACATTAACCAACAGGCAGTCACTTAAACAACTGTCAGAAACCTTCTCTCAAAGAGAGGCATTTCCAGTGACCAATCAAATAACGTTTCAGTCCCCCAACTCCCCAACATATCACCCGACCAGCCCTAGACCTATGTGTCTGTGGAAAGTTGGGTATGAAAACGCTGTCCATCACTCTCTTTGTTCGGCGTAAGGGGCAGTCTCGCCAAATATCCGATTTTTCTAGGCTTGTCTTCTGCAAGCTGTGCGGATCGCACAGTAGTCGTTGTGAAAATTTCCCTCAATCAAGCTTTACCTGTCAGCGTGTTTCGCAGATCGGAGAGTGCGTTTAGAGGCAGTGACCGTGCGTTTGTACGTCTAAATTATATAGTAAAAAAACCCGTCAGATGATGAAAGCGTGCGTTTGAGCGGAGCGTGCTTTTGTATGGCGTGCGTTTAGGAAGAGACTACTGTAGATAAAACGCAAGGGGGAAGTGAGATGTGATCATTTATGCAGGTGATTGTCCTGGGCAGGGAGCCATTAGAGCTAGTTCGACCTCATTCTGTTTTTACCTTTGTTGTTGGAGTGATTAAAGGTGCGTGAGTTGGTGCACTGATGTATTTCTTGCCTGAGGCAGGTGCATAATTTGTACCTGTATTGATTTTTTTTTTTATAGCTCAGGTTAGTCTTGGAAGCCCAGAAGCTGCACGGTGAAGTGTTCCCTCCTGCAATGGTCAGAACACAAGTTTTATACAAATCTAGTTATCTATTATTGATGATGGAAACAATACCAGTAGAAGCATTACATCACAAGTAGGCTAGTTTTATACAGGGGATATGTATAGACCTCTTACAATATTACTGTTGTTTAAGAAATGTTATTTCTTTCAATCAAGAACAATTGTAAGCTTTTTTTACTTATATGCTATTTCTACACAATTTACGCAACTAATTTTGAAACTGCAAAATCATCATCATCTTCAAGTGCTAGATCTGCGGCAGACACCGGCGATCATGGTTCACCATTTATTCCTTCGCTCAGATGCTCTTTAAAAAAGCTATGTTTCCCTGATCTTTCCCCGTTACCCATTTGTTTAGGTTCCCTTAGTAGGTTACTCTAGGCCTTGTTTGCCTTCAATAAAAATATTGCGTGTAATAATTAATATAATTGTTATTTCTTCTTAGACAAAATCGGTACCGGTAATCACAATAATGCTATTGCAAATCTTGTAAAAAGTGTGTGGGTAATAATGTTGTTCAGACTATTCTGTTCTTGCAAAAACAAACAGAATGCCTTTGTTTGCATAATTGTTGTGTTAAGCTTTGGACATATTGCTCCAGGAAAGCTTAAGACCAAAAATGCCTCCCTTGATTGAAAAAAGACTACTCAATCTTGCCATTGTAGATGGAGACTTTTGGATAACTCTTAGTTGTTTCATAGTGAATTTAGAACACATTTTATTCTCTTTAATCTTTTATTATGCAGATTGATCATTCTTTTTAGTTGTTTCATAGTGAATTTAAGAATGAATTTTATCTGTTAAATCTTTTATGATGCAAATTGATCATTCTTGATTCCCTTGTCTCCTCCAGTTCTCAATTTTCTCCAAGAAAAGCATTACCTTGAAACTAAATGATGTGGTTTTGAAAGAATGCTCACAGTATTACATTTTGACCTTGAGGAAGGTTACTCATGCTTTAAATGGTTCTATTTGAAATATTTCAGCTTTAATTTCTGACCAGGACATAAGAAATAGAGTTGACAAGATGTATATCCAGTTCTCTCAGTTTGTGTCTACGGCTGTTTCAGTTCACCCAAAGCACGGATCTTAATGTTCAAAGGAAAAAAAATAAATGGCGTCAAGAAGAACTGCAAATGCAAATAGGATTAGCAGCCTTTTTTTTTCTCAAAATAATAAATGTTGGGTTTTTTTTACAGATGCAATTGAGAAGTTACTACATTTTTTTTCATCTTTCCAGTATAAAAAAATGTGATGTAATTTATATAAATGAGCATGGGTCTCATGTCTATTTGTACGCACAAAAAAGCCTCTTACGGCTCTTTTTATGTAAGTCCATAGTCGTACCAACTACAACACTTGGGGAGATATTTTTGTTTCTTGTTTTTTAATTTACGTGGACGGGAAAACATTCCAAAATATGTGCAATGAACATTATATTGTAAACTTGTGGTGCGATCAAAATATATCTGTTAATAGTAATATGTAAATATGGACATTGCAGGAAATCTTGTATTTTTGCATATCTACTATTGTACTGAAATTTTGTTTTGTTTTTTGTGTGTTGTTTTAAAGCAAAAGGAGGGGGTTACAGCCAAGTTATCTACAGGCTTCACAATAAGTTCAGGACCACCTTGACAGGCAGCCCTGATTTTTTTTTTATCCGCACAAAAGACAGCAAGGAATGTTTCAAAATTTTTTGCTCTGAAAGTGTTAATGGGTTACCTATGCCTACTGCAAAGCTTCCTAAAGGGGCAAAACCACCATGTGCTGCACGGAAATCCTCGGTGAATTTTAGCCAAATTTTCTGGGTTTTATTAACTTGTGTGCAACACAACGGACATTCCTCAGTTAAAATTTATGGTGCACTTCATAAATGGACGACGGTCTCGAACTGTTCTCACTTTGGTGGCAATATAAGCCATCAAGCCACTGGATCAGTCCAAGAACGCCCACGTGCAGGTCGACCTAAGAAGACCACTCAGAGTGTTTGCAAGTGGTCCTTAACTGATGTTGAAGTCTGTATTACAAGGTCACAATGAACAGTTCAGATGCCGAGCAAATTCTATGGAAATCTGAGGAGCCTCTTACGGAATAAGCTTTTTGAAAAAATTTGAACTAATAATAGTCATTGCTCGTAATTAAAGCTTTTGATAGTCAGACACGCTACACACCTAGCACAGGACCGAAACCTGCACCTCCCATTGACATCCTAAGGATACCAGAGGAAGAAAAAAGTAAAAGTAAAAATAAAGTAAACACTTTTGTCTGAAAAAGATTTGCTGGTCTCTTGATTCAGTTATATATATGGCCGAGTGTCTGCCATTACTTTGCTGTGGAAAGATACCAAAAGTGGTAAGGTTTGAATCAGAGGAGGTATGGAAAGAAAAAACAATTAATTATTGTAAAACGTCAAAGCTTTTTTCACCAAATGATGATCTTGTTTGTTTTATTTAAATCCCAAAGTTGGCTTCCATTTTTCCATTTTTTCCCCTTGTTCAGCACTGGTGTTCATCTTGTCTATGGTGTATAGTTTACAATGGGATATATATTAATACCATTTTATGTTTGTTGTTTTGTCTTAATCATGTTGTTGTTCCAAGTGTCATTGACATTCCCAATTGCCCAGATAATATTTTTATATAATGTGTTTTGATTTTGGAATAAAATGTAAGTAGCTGCTGGTCAGCTGAAAAAAAATAGATCTTTTTATTTGTTTGTTGTTTTTTGTAGGATTTTAAAATTCATCAGTTGGCGGGTGCTCTGGTGTGGTTTGCTCCTTCTTTCTTATCAAACATCTATTGTCCTTATCTCTCCTCCTTCTTTTTTGAGTATGTTACTTTCTTGTAACACATCTATTCTTCGGCACTTATATGATGACTGACCTTATTGTGTTGCAAGTGCCGAAAAACTCGTACTAAAACGAAACTAAAACTGAAATTCATCTATAGTGTGTTCACTCTCGTCTGTCTGCGTTAAGAAAATTCTACCTCATGTAATAAACCATCTATACCCACGAAACTTTGTCTTAATCCAGTATAAAAGTTTCTGTATTTGGGCCTCTATATTGATAACTGTTCTTTGAATGCATACACAGGATCACTAAAATAAATGAGTTATAGTAGTTGACATCCACCCCTCGGCGCTCATATGACCTTTTGCAGTTGCGAGCGCCGTAAAACCTTACTAAAACTAAAGACAGAGACAACAGAGGGAAGAAAAGAAGTAGGACCAGCTAGAGGCAAATACCATCCACTTGCTCAGAGAGAAAGAAGTTGGAAAGTACAGAAGTGCAAGACAATAACCTCTCACAGAAATTGCAGTCAGACGAGATCAAATACATTTTCTGCTATTTCATGATTAATTTACTATCTTCCATCCCTACAAAACAAATTTTCACAGCAAAATTTCACCACATGTTGCTTCACAATGCCAAATGCAGTCCAACAATTCATCACAATGATTCAATTTACTCCTCACAATCATCAATCCAAACTTACAAAAACACAAATCCACATCTTTCATCGCTTTCCTTCTCTCCTCTAATTCCTTCGCAAGTACACATACATGAACACATGCTCCTATGGACCAGCATATACAGTCATTCACACACACATGCTGTAAAGAAAACAATCGCTCTTGCTTCATTCAGCATGCTAGAAGGAGAGGTAACACACTGAAACAGCTGAAGAAAAAAGTTCAGTCACGTTAGGAAAGAAGAATAAATTTACAAATTCAAATCAAATGCATGGAAAAAAAAAGAATAGAAATGTTACAGGAACGTTTTCATCTATTTCTTATACATATTCTATTAAAACAAGAAATCAGAAGTACAAGCGTGCAGGCTTTCCTTACAAATGTGTCACGATACTGTGGAATCAGGCACTCGTCAATTTTGGGGTATATGGAGCTATTGGTATAATCTGAAAGTTTGTTTGTCTTTCTTTCGGTGAATAAAATACCTATCCATCTTGAACAGAAGTCGAGATGTTTGCGCCTGAAGGAGGTGGGGGTAGCCTATTTTCTGAGGTAAATTTGCGAGAAAATGGCCACCCGAAGTTTGGTAACTTCTATATCTTGAGGGTCCACGAAAACTGTAAATGTACTTATTTTGTGCCATTAATCAACGATTTTCAGTAAAATTCACGCGGAAATGTATTTTTATATGGACATGAAAGGTGTTAGCTAAAAAAATGAAAGTTCGGCAAAAATTGCCAAATTGGAGGGAAAATGCCCATTTCTTTAATTTCATTATTTTGACGAGCGCCTGATTTCACCACGATGCCTCACAAATAAATTTCACATCCCCTTCACTTCCTCTTGACATCACATGAGTGACTGATCTGACCCTAGGCGCCTAGATCAGACCCCCATTCCTTTCCCGGGTGGAAAGCAATCTATTCAGGTCTACTCAAGTAGCAAATAGTGTAGATTGTGAAGCGCGTAGAGCTTGCTGTTAAACGGGAATTTGTGCTATACATAATATGCTATTATTATTATTATTATTATTATAAAAATATGTGAGGCAGCGTGGTGAAATCAGGCGCTTGTCAAAACAATGAAATCAAAGAAACCAGCATTTTTCTGGACATTTGGAAATTTTTTAAGAAATTAGGGGGGGGGGGTTGTCAACATATTTTGTATCCATTTAAAAACACTTTTCGGTAGAGAAGTTACTGAAAAACATTGATTAAAGACACAAAAATTGTAAATTTTCAGTTTTCAAGGAATCTCAAGCTATGTAAGTTACCAAATTTTTGCTTCCATTTTCTCCCTAATTTTACCTCTGAAACATGGGGACCCCATCTCTTCAATCACAAATATATCAAATTTTATTCAAGTTAAAAGGGTAGTTTTTTCATTGAAATTTATAGACAAATAAACAATATTTAAGATGATACCAATAACTTCACATGCCCAAAAATTGACGAGTGCCTGATTCCATCGCGTTGTGACACAAATATGTTCAGCACGATCCATCATTTGACAAACTTCATCAGAACCACAACATCAAGGTCTTAGTTCTTTCTGAAGCAAGTTTTACAGAGCAATGAAGTTTGTTTCAAACAAACAGCGATTCCTGTTAAGTAATCATCTCTGTGAACATTGGGAGCTCAATTCCAACACCCCCCCCCCCCCTTCTTTCCAAAAGAAGACATCATACATCAGCAGTGGAATCCACTTTATCTGAGGGACCGTAAAATTCCTCAGTTTTGCCAAGTTTTCAGTTTACAGCGGTTGCTCGAATAGGAAAAATACAGGGGATTTTATTGTGTTATGGTTTACCACTGTTTTTGGAATAATTGTTCGATTTAAGCAGACTCCATGTGCTTTATTTATCAATTTGACTTGATTAACCCTATCCGTACGTGTGTTATACTATCATATCCATACGACGTGTGGAACTCTGGGCCACCACTTTCCAAAGAGGAAATTACTTGTTAATCCGATCTGTACACTTTGCATAGCAGTCTGTCAAAATGATTTTTTGAGAAATACTGAAAGTTTCAAAGAGATCTAACTAGAAGTATAAAATGTGAAGAATTTACCTCGAGGGTACAAAATGACCCCAGGGCGTACAGATAGGTTTAAATATGCACTAGCTCAACACAATTAAACGTTGTAACAACAGCTTATATAGTCACATTTAGCATCAGCACAAACTTGCACAGGAAAAACGAACTTTGCACTCATGGATATCACAGCCCAGAAGCACATGAACATTCTTATGTGTTGGTAGTCCATTTCAGACTTCCATAGACATTCAACATCAGAGGTCATCTCTTCCAGAGACATTCAATATCAGTAGTCACCTCTTCCATAGACATTCAACATCAGAGGTCACCTCTTCCATAGACATTCAACATCAGAGGTCATCTCTTCCATAGACATTCAACATCAGAGGTCATCTCTTCCATAGACATTCAACATCAGAGGTCACCTCTTCCATAGACATTCAACATCAGAGGTCACCTCTTCCATAGACATTCAACATCAATGGTCATCTCTTAGCTATGTAGTAGCCATTGAAGAACACACAGTCATCATATGAGCCACTGCCACTTAAATATTTCAAGATTGAAAAAGAAAAAACTCGAAAAGCATCACATTTTTTCATCCATGTCAACAAACTTGACACCACATAGTTTGAGGTCCCCAGAAAGCGTCTCAATGTAACCAGTCACTCTTTTGAAAAAATATGAGTCACGACACGGTGGAATCAGGCACTCGTCATATTTTGGGCATGTGGAGTTATTTGTATTATTTTTAAACTTGTTCCATTGTCTTGCTATCGGTGAAAAAAAAGCCCATCTATCTTGAATAAAAGTCGAGATATTTGAGATTAAAGGTGGAGTCGCCTGGTTTTAAAGGTAGAATTAGCTAGAAAATGCCCGTCAAAGTTTGGTTATTTCAATAGCTGGATAGTGTGTGGAAACTGAAAACTTACATTTTCTGTGCCTTTAATCAACGTTTTTCAGTAAAAATGCACCCAAAAATGAGTTCTTATTTGGACAACAATGGTGTTAAGCCAAAAAATAAAAATTCGATAAAAATGACCAAACTGGCACAAAAATGCCAGTTTCTTCAATTTCATTATTTTGGCGAGTGCCTGAATTCACCACGCTGCATCACATATTAAATAATGCAGAACTGAGGCCTGCCTCCCTGATCATAAGCAGACAAAACTTTTGTCATCTGATATAAGTAGAAACTATTTGCAGTTTGCTTCTACAACACAATTACGAGTACGGAGAAGATGAAAAGCAGAAACGATGAATATCTCTTTGTGCACATAGGAGGTCTGTTCAGCCATAACAGTAGAGGAGAACATTTGGTCGCTTTTAAGCACAAGGGGGCTATCCCACAAAGTGCTGTTTTGAGAAAATCCAAGGTAAAGTTTTTGTCCCTTATTCAGTTTCTTTAAAACACAAGGAGAGTTTTCTCTATAACCAAACAAATATACGCACCAATGAAAGCAAACTTCTCCTATAGGTAGGGAAATGCCCACTTTTAATGTAGGTCAAGATTTCTGGAAACCCCCGAAATCTGGGTTAGCCTGCTTGTTCTTAAAAGCGACCATTTGTGGTGCAATGGGAACTTTACGCTGGCCCTTATTTTCAAATATATCAATTTTATTGAATAAAAATATGGCATCAGAAGGGATCTGTTTTTACATAAAAGTATACTCTTTTCTCATTTCTGCAAAAATTTCATCTTGAATTATGTACCGTTATTAGGAATTTCAGTACACTTTTTAATTCCCTAAATTAGATGCACCAAAAAGGCTTTGTTTGAAAAAAAAAAAAAAAGCAATATCAAATACAGTGGAGACCGCCTAAAGTGAACGCGCTTTATTTGAACAATCGGTTAAAGTGAACGATATTCTGTGGTCCCGATTGAAACGCTTTTTGATTAAGTAAAAAAATTGTGGATAAAATGATCCGGTTTCATGAGAAATCAGATAAAGGGAACGCCCAAAATGAGTGAAAGCGAAGAACGGACCTACCGTGTCACTGTCGCCATGCTGTGAAAATAAAATTCTTTGCCTCGGGCATTGGCAGACAATCCCAGCTCGGCGTTGGCGACAGCAATCTCAATCAGAAAGCAAAAGCTCTAGTCTTGGCTCGTCCGCTGAGTTCCTCCCCCACCCCACCCAAGACCCATAACTGCACGTAGCTACTGTTTGTAAGCCTCCACCCTACCAAAATGGTTAAACTGAACCTTGGATAAAGTGAACACTTTTTTCCGTTCCCAAAGACTTCGCTTTAGGTGGACTCCCCTGCATATCCATTTTATTGAGGAAAGATTTGGCATCAGAACGGATCTGGTACTAACATACAAGCAATATACTCTTTTCTCATATCTAAAAAAATTTCATCTTGAATCATGTACCGGTATTAGGAATTTCAGTGCACTTTTTTAATTCCCTGAACTAAATACACCAAAAAGGCTTGGTTTGGACAACAACAACAACAAAAGCAATATCAAATAAGTTGAAAATTGGGCTCCAAACGTTCCACACTCAGCCTGGTAGCACACTGAAATACCACACTGTTGACATCCTTATTCTCTCAAGGGACAAATTCTAATCAAGACATAAAAACAAACTCCAAACGCTCATTTCTCCAATCTACAAATAGAATCTCGCCCCTGTCTAAGACTCAAATCACAAGCATGCGGTATCCATTCATCAAGACAAAAAAAACAAACCCTAACATTTCATTAAATTAAATAAAGAAACAATCCAAACGCTCATTTCTCCATGATCTACACATAGAATCTCACCCCAGTCAAAATCTACACGTAGAATCTCACACCTGTCAAAATCTACACATAGAATCTCACCCCAGTCAAAATCTACACGTAGAATCTCACACCTGTCAAAATCTACTCACAGAATCTCACCCCCATCAAAGACACCAATCACAAGCATGCGGCACCCATTCATCAATCCAGCCTACCTAGCCTACACATTTCACGGAGGTCAAACAAAGTCGTAGTAGTTCCTGCCCTGGTCCAGCGCCCTCTTGGCCCGGTTCATGTCCTTGAAGCACCGTCGGCCGTATGGTTCGGTGTCGTTGTAGCATTTGTCGAAAACCTCATCCACCACCAGCATGGCGTCAAACTGTGACACGTTCCGAACCAGCATGATGGACTGGAGAGCTTTGTTCTTAACACACAGCTGGGAGAACAGAAAAATACACAGCTCATGATGCAATAAATAATATAATTAACCGTAATTTAGTCTCTAATGTTGATTTAATTCTGGGGAAAAGCAAGACAAACAGACAGAAACGAAAAAAGGAAAGTAAAAAAGTACATTAAGTTTTAGTTTTTTAGTTTTAGTAGAGGTTTTACGGCACTCGCAACTGCATACGGTCATATGACTGCGTGGGACACCTTAAACATTTTCAGTTAGTAGGAAATTTTCTTCTTCTTCGTTCTCACTCAGTAGGAAATTTTGAATTTTGCTTGGGTGGCGGCCAGAGCCTACTCTTATTGATTTTAGACCACCAACGGATCTTTAACATGTGAGACTTGCACACAGAACCTCCGAGATTTTTCACCTTTGTCCAAGAAGGCTAGGTATAGATCTTTCCTACCAGAAGATCAGGGATGTGGCTGAAAGACAACAGTAAGAAGGAGCCATGGTGTAGCAGTAGAAAGACTGCAGAAAGAGTCAGGAGCTCAGAGGAGGGGACAAAGGAGGCGAGGGGGTGGGGGTAGAAAGTGGAGACGAAAGCAGACGACAGAACATTGCTAGAGAGCAGGAAAGGAGGTCAAACTCAAAGGAGACAATTTTAGAGAATTTTTTTTTCCGCTGCTACCCAGATTCAAGCCCGGGACCTTTGAATGAGAGGCGAACACCTTAACCTCTTGGCCACGAGAGCCTCCATTCCCTGACAATGTCAGTGACATGCACATTAAGCAGATGCGCTGTCGGCTCAGTTGGTATCATGCTTAACCACAGAGTGGAGAGCCTGGGTTCTACTTCCACACTAAGTGTTCTTGAACTCAAGTTGTTTTGTCAAGTTTTCAAGGCTCTGAGCCCATTTTGCTCAATCCTACTGTTTTTGTTCTAGTAAGGTTTTTAGTTTAGTTTTAACAGAGGTTTTACGGCGCTCGCAAATGCATAAGGTCATATGAGCGCCAGAAGATTAGAGGTTCTGAGGTGTTACAAGAAAGTAACAAACATAAAAAAGAAGGAGGGGAGATAAAGACGATAGATCTTTATAGGAAAGAAGAAGCAAACTACACCAGAGCACCCACCAACCACCCACTAGTAAGGTTTTACAGAGCTCGCAACTGCATAAGGTCATAGGAGCGCCAAGGGGTGGATGTCAACAGAGAAGTCCAAACGGGGGAATCAGGCTTACTCTGCTCACCTCTCTTGCCTCAACAGCACAAAGTCTGCTACGACTATCAAGGCACCCCTTGATGTCCATGTTCTACCATTCAACCATATAAAGTATGATAAATTTTTGTATAACAGCATGGGCCGGGAACACAAGACAACAAGACAAAGATAAATTAAATCGACTAATACGGAAAGCATGTAAAATTTCAACATCTACATTCCCCTACTTGGATGAATTGTACATAACAGCTTGCACTAAAAAAAAAAAAAATTAATTCCATCTTTTTAGACAACAAACATCCCTTGTTCCCTCAAATAGAAATATCAGTAAGAAGTAAAAGATCTAGGCTTCTGATCTGTAACAAAGAAAGATACAGAAGGTCATTTTTACCATCATCTATCAAAATGCTTCCATCTTAACCATCTTGTATAAGTATACTTACGACCTTAGAGCATGCATCAAAATAACATTGAGAGTGTATCTAGCTTACGATTATTAAATTGTTTATATTGCTGCTCATTTATATTATGCATGTGATTGTAAGCCTATGTGTGTGTGCATGTGTATGTGTGCGCGCGCGTTTGTGTGTGTGTGTGTGTGTGTGTGTGTGTGTGTGTGTGTGTGTGTGTGTGTGTGTGTGTGTGCGTGTGTGTGTGTGTACATGTGGTGAAACACCAAACCAATGTGCCAGGATCTAGACTATAAAGATGTATCTTGTATCTTGTATCACCCTGGAAAAAGCAGTTCTCAAGAGAGTGACACACATACAAAAGAAGTAGAGGAAAATGACGATAAAAAGAATGAGGAGAGAAAAAGCAGCAGTTCCCCCTATGTTGTTCCGGCACAGTATGAGCATGACATTGATAAATCAGCCCATTTACAATTCTACAGTGCATAAGAACCATGTAATATCCCCCTTTTGGTAAAGGCCTAAAGATACTTCAGTCAGTAGCACTGCTCTTTGGGGGGGGGGGGGGGGGGGGGGGCTGGAAATTTTTACAACTTGTATGTTATTTTTGAAGTACAGACTATTATCTCACTGTTGGGGGGGGGGGGGGGGTGTAAGCGCACCTTCAGACATGTAGAGTGAACGCACCTTCAGACATGGAGAGTGAACGCACCTTTAGACATGGAGAGTGAACGCACCTTTAGACATGGAGAGTGAACGCACCTTTAGACATGTAGAGTGAACGCACCTTTAGACATGTAGAGTGAACGCACCTTTAGAGTAGGACATGTAGAGTGAACGCACCTTTAGAGTAGGACATGTAGAGTGAACGCACCTTTAGAATAGGACATGTAGAGTGAACGCACCTTTAGAATAGGACATGTAGAGTGAATGTACCTTTAGAATAGGACATGTAGAGTGAACGCACCTTTAGAATAGGACATGTAGAGTGAACGCACCTTTAGAATAGGACATGTAGAGTGAACGCACCTTTAGAATAGGACATGTAGAGTGAACGCACCTTTAGAATAGGACATGCAGAGTGAACGCACCTTTAGAATAGTCATTGTGACATAGGCCTAACGAACATATCACGAGACTGACACCTCACGTGACTTCACGCAAGGCGCGAGTAAACTAACTACCACTCTTTCGCTGGAGCCGAAACAAGTAACATCGGCTAACCAAGGACTAGCAGAAGACCAGTAGGTGGGGCCCCACCAACATCAGCTACATCTAGATCTACTACCGCAAGACTCAAGACTCACCTAGTAAGTCATAACATAACAGGGGGAGAGGGGTGTTGAGGTTGGCGATGAGGGGTGGGAGGTTACGGTGGTACAAAAAAAAACCTCTACTAAAACGGACAAGATCCTCACCAAAACTCTTTATTTTGTTTCTTAACCCTATCCGTACGTCATGTTTTACTATCGTATCCATACGACGTGGGGAACTCTGTGCCACCACTTTCCAAAGAGGAAATTTACTCGTTAATCCGATCCATACGCTTTGCATAGCAGTCTGTCAAAATGATTTTTTGAGAAATACTGAATGTTTTGAGAGATCTTTGTACTAGAAGGATTAAAAAATGTAAAGAATGCAACCCAGGGGTACAAAATGACCCCGGGGTGTACGGATAGGGTTAAACTTAAACAGCTTTCGGTAACAAAATATATTTCCAATATTAATGACAAAATCTGCAGCCACAAAAAGCTTACCTGATGTCTTTCTTTGATGTTTAGCGGTGTCATATCCCCCGTGGCAAATGCTGCTGCTAAAGAACAATGGTTCATGTTGGCGGCCCGGATCTGGCGACGAGGAAAGAAAACTGACTTGACATACAAAAAACAAAAGAGTAATTACTGTTCTTTTTAGTTTCAGTAAGAGTTTTACGGCACTTGCAACACAATAAGGTCATAATAGAGCCGAAGAATTTAGATTATGTGTTACAAGAGAGTAACATACACAAAAAAAAGGAGGGGAGATAAGGACGACAGATGTTTGATAGGAAAGAAGGAGCAAACCACACCAGAGCACTGTTTAAAACTTTTTTTTCTGAAAGTGTTTTACGGCGTTCGCAACTGCATAAGGTCACATAAGTGCGCGGGACACACTAAACATTTTTTTTTTTTAATCAATATTTTTTTTCAGTTGGTAGGAAATTTTTAATGTTGCATAAGTGGCAGCTGAAACCTACTCTTATTGATTTTAGACAACCAAGGGATTTTCAACATGCGCAACTAGTACATGGGACCTCCGAGATTTTTCGCCCTTGTCCAAGAAGGCTAGGTGTGAATCCTTCCTACCAGAAAATCAGGGGTGTGACTGAAAGACAGCAGTAAGAAAGAGCCAAGGAGTAGCAGTAGAAACCCAGCAGAAAGAGTCAGGAGCCCAGAGGAGGGGGTAAAGGGGGTGAGGGCAGAAAGTGGAGACGAAGGCAGACAACAGAACATTGCTAGAGAGCAGGAAAGGATTTGAAAGAGGACAAATTCAGAGAAGAACATTTTGCGGTCGATACCCGAATTCGAACCCGGGACCTTTGAATGAGAGGCGAACACCTTATAACCTTTAGGCCACGAGAGCCCCTGTATAAAACTCGAAAGAAAAGCATGAAACAAAATCTTGCTCTATTGAGAAATGAAGAAAACCATTAATGAAACGTACAGTCACACCTGGTCTAGTGGCCACCTGCACCAGTACCATGCTGCAGTGCCAAGGCAGAGCGACGTATCTGCATTTTTTATGATTTTGAGTTACGTTGCGCTGCCATTGGAAATATGGGCATAGCCCTTCAGTTACATCTGTTTGCCATAGTGAAATATCCTACTTGTAGTGCAGATACGTCTTCCTGCCTTTGACACAAAATGCAGAATGGGTATAGGCGTCCATTTAAATGAAGATGTAAAATTTTTGCAGATATGTCTGTCTGCTTTGGCATGGCAGCATGGGTCTCAACTCAGAATTTTAATAGAGGAGGATCTTTCCGCGTGATCAAGACAGAAGACCATTTTCGCGAGACACCCATTATTATTATACTGTTTAACCCTAGAGTGCTGAAATAAAAACCATCAATTCATCAATGGACCAAAGTAAGGTTATTTCATACCAATTTGAGGGTCTAGAAGATAATTTCAAGTAAAAGAGTGGCTGTACCGGAGTTTAGCATAGGAAATGGCAATAGTGGAAATCCGCTAAATAGCGGAATATTGAGACCCATGCAGTACAAAACAACCACATCCCATTCTCCTTCCCCCCCCCCCCCCCCCCCCCCCCCCCCCCCCACCCCACCACATTTTAACATTTTAAAAAGAATACCAAAATGACACCTATTAAGACGCCCAACTGACTAAACCAAACAACTTTTCCCCTTGACAATGGGTAAGCGACCATCTTGAATAATTCCAACTGTATACACCTCACAAAACGTCTACAGTTATAGGCAATGACCAAAAAGCATTCAAAGTGGTTTTTTAGTTTTAGTAGAGGTTGTCTCTAAACAAGGAACAAGAAAAGAAAATCAATGCATGCGAAATGAGGTGTCTTCGCAAAACCATCAACGTCACCAGAATCAGAGAAAGCATAAGAAGTGCAACCATACGTCTAAAAACTGGAACACCACCAGTAATAAAATTTATATAGCGTCAAAGAGTTTGGACATCTAATCAGAATGCCCCAGAAACAACTAGAGGCTAGAGCTTAGATCACCCAAGAATCTGGCTTCAAATCAAGAGGAAGACCACAAAAGACCTGGCGGGATGGGGTTAAAAAGGTCCTGGAACAACATACCAATATATCTGTCACAGATGCTACACACCTAGCACAAGGCCGAAACCTGCACCTCCCCTCGACATCCTAAGGATACCAGAGGGAGGACAAAGTAAAAGAGTAAAATAAAAGAGGCTGGTTCTCACCTCGGTGCAGGCAAGATGTCTTAGATTTTCAAAGTCCACTTTGGCGCGGCAGAAGTCAAAGGCGTGGAGCAGCTCATGAGCCAGAACGTTGCAGCAGACGTCTCTTGTGTTCACGTTGTTCTGGCACACCACAACCTGATTCACAAAACAGAATAATACATTACATGATGTGTTAACTTGTGAAAGTGCCATAATACATGTGTTAACTTGTGTAAGTGCCATAATACACGTGTTAACTCGTGTTTGATTGATTGATTGAGTAGGTGTTTTATGGCACTATCGACCCAATTTTGGTCATTTAAGTGCCAATAACTTGTGCAAGTGCCATAATACATAATGTGTTAACTTGTGCAAGTGCCATAATACATAATGTGTTAACTTGTGCAAGTGCCATAATACATAATGTGTTAACTTGTGTGAGCACCAAGACGTAATATACTCCGTAATATGTGAGGCAGCCTGGTGAAATCAGGCACTTGTCAAAAGAATGAAATCGGAGAAACCAGCATTTTTTCCCCATTTTTCACAATTTTTATCGAATTTTTGTTTTTAGGCTCAGCATCTTTTAGGTCCATTTAAAAACCCATTTCTGTGAGGATTATACTGAAAAAAGTCGATTAAAGGCACAAAAAATAAATGTAATTTTCCAATTTTCAAGGAATCTCAAGCTTTGGAAGTCATCTAACTTTGGCAGCAATTTTCTAGCTAGTTAAATCTCGAGAAACCAGGCGACCTCACCTCTTCTCAATCCCAAATATCTCGACTTCTATTCTAGACAGATGGGTATTTTAAAAAATTGAAAGCAAATGGATAAGTTTTCAGATGATACCAATAACTCCCAAAGCCCAAATTTTAACGAGCCCCTGGTCTCACCATGTCCTGACACATACAGTTTGTGATATACAGTCACACTTGCTCTGTGGGTGGTTAGCAGGTGCTCTGGTGTGGTTTGCTCCTTCTTTCATATCAAACATCTATCGTCCTGATCTCTTCTCCTTCTTTTTTGTGTTTGTTACTCTCTTGTAACACCTCTAATCTTCGGCACTTATATGACCGTACTGTGTTGCAAGTGCTGTAAAACTCTTGCTTAAAAAAAACCCTTGCTCTAATGGCCACCAGTCGAAGACAATCAACTGTTACAGTGACCACCTCCCACCTTGCATTTTTTTTAAATAAATGTGAAGAGTGCTGACAAAATGAGTTGTTTCTCGGATTCAAGCCTTATTGAAATAGATACATCACGCTTATTATAGGTGAAGTTTTTACAGTTTAGAAGTATGAAATAACAAAAAGCAGGTTATTCTTAAAGAATATGGCATCAATAAAAAATCTACAAATTTGACCCTAGTGTCGATTTTTGGCCAATATCTCCATTTGTGGATTGCGAGAAGTAACTCATTTTGTCTCTCATATCATAACACTGACCCCGTGGTTTTAAGCACCCAGCGTAATTTAGCAAAATTTGATCTTTTTTTTTTCATAATTTCTGATTATTTTCCTTTATTATTTGTTAAAATTAACAGAATTCCATAATTTCACGTTTTTGGGCTCAGTTTGCATAATTTCATAATTTTTTGGGGTATAAAACCGCGGGGACAGATAATAACACTGGCCAGTATGCACACCAAAGACAACCACTTTTCTCTTCCACCATGGGTGGCTTTTAGTTTTAGTAGAGGTTTTACGTCGCTCGCAACTGCATTAACTCTTATCCTGCGTCTGTGCCCAGATGCGTATCTTATCAGCAACCGATTACGTCGGACGTGCCGGGCAGGCCGCCGGGGTCACTCAGTGTGTACTGTTGATGTACAGCGCGCGCGCCGGGAAATGTGTGTTTTCGCCATGAATACAGCGGGATTGTGTTAACCGATGATGAAAATAATGCTCTATCCTTCATAGCTTTCTATTTATAAAGTGTTACAAACACATGAATAACCCCCTCTCATAGCTGATAAGACATTACGAGTAGTTACACCCATTCGAATAACCTTCCTGGACGCTCTCGTTGTTATGAATGACCTGAGGTTCGAAAGGGGATAATTTAGGTCAATTTCCGAATGTTTTGCACTCAAATTGTTCTTTGTACCTGCACAAGGGTATTCAAAACTATCAAACAAGCTTATTTTTTATCAGGTAGTATCATTTCATACAAAATCAAGCTCATTTGAAATATTTTGTATAGATAAATGGAAGTCTTGTTTCCTGACTATCCTTTCGAGCTCCTCATGTCTAAGTGGATCAATTTCTTCTATAATTTCATTGGACGAACATCTAGAGCTATCAACTTGGCATGTTTTGAATGAGACGTATGCCTCGATTACGAACCAACGCAGGCGGTTCTAGAAGAAGGCCACAAACGCACACAACTCAAGCAGACTGACGCACACACACTTGACCTGCATGAATGGGGATCCGACTCGGGACCCGTATGACACGTAAGAGGATGCGCACTGCGCGTGCGCTGAGCCAGCGGCTACACTGATTCGGGACCAGAACGCAGGCGAGGTGCCAAAATAGGCTATCAGGCTACATAAACCAGGCTCCCGCAGGATGAGGGTTAAGGTCATATGAACGCCAGAAGATTAGAGGTGTTACAAGCGAGTAACAAACATGTAGTTGTTGTTGTTTTCAAATCCCTTTAGCTGCGAGCATTTCGCTCTTGGCAGCGCAAGGCCTCCCTCAAGTAACTATATGTCCTTGTCATCTGGTCAACGCCAGAGTAGAGCAGGCTTTGTAAGTCTGTAGGTGTGTGTAGCAGCCTGAGTCGATGAACTGTCAGGTTTGGGTAGCGAAAAAGTAACATACATAAAAAAGAAAAAGGGGAGATAAGGACGAAAGATGTTTGATGGGAAAGAAGAAGCAAACCACATCAAAGCACCCGCCAACCACCCACCACCATGAGTGGCCTTCTTGAACAATTTCGACTGTAGATAAAGCTTACCACACAAGGCATTCAAATCCCTCTCAACATAGTAGGTTAACTAAGTATAATAACATTTTTTCACAAAGAGCTAGTACAGTCTTATTTTCCTACCAAGGGTTCACAAGCTTTCAAAAGGCAAGACTATCCCATTCCCATTCACTTCAAATGACCATCTCAGCAGCTAATAATTTCGCATGTGAATATGGAAAGGATGTTATAGTAAAAATTTAAACAAAACAGAAAGAAAAATATTTGTGAGGCAGCGTGGTGAAATCATGTCCTCGTCAAAATAATGAAATCGGAGAAACAGGCATTTTTCCGCCAGTTTGGATATTTGTATCGAATTTTTTCTTTTTTGGTTTAACCTCTTTTAGGTCCATATTTAAAAAAACACACCTGTATGCTACACACCACCCACCTGCATGGATTTGGGATCAAATCCTCCACTCACTTTCTCCAGACAAGTTTCACACGACACGTGTCGCTCCATGTTCACAGGACTGGGGATGTCGACAAAGAAATAGGTTCATAGTTTTAGTTTTAGAAAAAGTTTTATGTCATTTGCAACACAATAGTAAGGTCATATAAGTGCCAAAGATTAAAGGTGTTACAACAGAGTAACAAACACAAAAAAGAAGGAGGAGGGGAGATAAAGATTAATACTTAATAATATGAATATTCAATGCTGGCCAATATACACATTCGCACACACACACACACAATACACAAACAGACATACACACACACAGACATACACACACAAACGCACACAGACATACACACACACACAAACGCACACATACAGACACACACACACATATACACACACACAGGGGGTGGTGGAGAGCAAAGCCTTAGCAAAAAGGGAAACTTTTACTTAAAACAAATTGTTACCTCAAAAAAGTAATGCTGCACCTTTACGAAAAAGAAGACAGTGTTCTAAACAAACTTAATTTGCCACAGTCATTATGATTTTCACTGAAAGTCTTCACATTTTTACATAAAACAAAATTATTTCCAATAACACAAACCAGCCATGACTTTCCAGAGCTCCAACCATCAGCTTCACCATTGGATCTGTAATGAGAATAATACATGAAAAAATGTTACTGAAGTACATGATCATTACCCTGGACAACAATTTTCACTCTCTCTCTCTCTCTCTCTCTCTCTCTCTCTCTCTCCAGATGACCCATCACTTGTAAATAGTGCTGAACTAGAATGAAAGACTTCTATAAAATTAAAATGCACAAGACTTATGAAAATAAACATACATACGAACATGGGGAAACACCTGCCTCAAAAAAAACCCCCAAAAAAACAAGAGACGAAAAATACCTGCTGCTGCTCCTTAGCAGATCAGCAACCTTGAAGCTTGAAACTTTCAGATCTATGGTTATGCAAGGACAACATGTCAGGAGCAGAATGCAGCTGATACCTACAGGTCCTCACAATTAAGATCTAGATCTAGCCTAATTTTAAGAACATTAAGGCTCGCCACAAGCTCACATCGGGGTGGGGTTGAGAATAGCGGGTCATGGTAAGAATATCATATGGTGACCAAATCGGCGATTTTGTACTTTCGCTCCTTAAAGTCAGGAGTAGGGGGGTTTCAGCGGGGCTTGAAATGAAGGTGGGGGAGGGGGGCATGCCCCCATGAATTTTATCCTTAGAATTTGTTGTTTTGCAGTTAGATTGCATCCATGCTCTTTGTGTAGCCTATTTCAAATAGTATTTGGTCATCAAGACTTCTGGATTTCTTCTCTGGATGTAAACAAATGGATCGTGGACTTTACTTTAAGTGACGAACGGAACTACGATCACCACCAAATCTAATAGGCAAAACTGCTGGGAGTTTTAGTTTTTAAACATAATTCTTTTAAAATGACCACTATTGAAACATTAACAAACACGAACCACATGTTCCATAGAGGGAACGTGGCTCTCAGTGTCCTGAATTAACTTACTTCTTGTAGAAGTGACGAAACAAGTATTTGACATTGAATTGACTTACTGCTTTGCATACAAGATCTAACATTTGTTATGCACTTGAAATGGTTCACATCCTCGTGGTAAAACACTCTGTTGAAGAACGATTTGGTTTTCTTTTTTCCCTCCCTGTCGGGGTAAAAGTAATAACCGAAGTCTTCTTCATCTGTGATCGATCCTTTCTTTTGAGATGCTTCTTTATTATCTAGTTTCTCACTCTCAACTTTCGTCTCACTGGGCGCTGCCATCTTGTTCCAGGGTAGACTACTCTAGATTCTAAAAATCTAGGTTCCAAAGAGGCTGCAATAGTACAAGAGGTTGCAGCTGTGACGTCGCCCACATAAACTCACTATGGCTGTGCTGCAAGGACCCTACTGTTTTAACCCCTTGCTGAGCCGGCCCACTAAGCTCGCTTTGACGCCATTTTTGAGAAGATTAGAAACAGTTCTGTCACCCTGTGCGTCCCACGCAACGCCTAGGTCTTCTTAGAGTTTGAAGCTCAGTTCAGTTTCATTTTAAGTTTTCTTTTTGCTTGCTGTTGTAGTTTAATCATAACATACACGCTTACACAATACCGCACCGGCTGACCGATTCTGGGAAACATAAATAATATGCACTTAAATGCGGACTACAAATGTATAAAGTATAAAGAGATGTAATAATTATACGAAGTATTGTTTGTTTTTCCCGGGTGGGGCAGGGGAGGGGGCGGAGGGAGACAAAATGAGTAATTGAGTTTGTTAAGAAAAGGTACAATTTCATTCTTACAAAGTGGATTGCTCTTATGTCGTGTTGTCTCTATTAATATAACCTTCTGCTGAAGCAAAGCCAAAGCCTAATAGAGCACGAAGGGAGTTAATACTGGGTTTACCAATTATTTAATATATTAATTCGTTATTGCCTCAAAATGCGAAATAAATTGTTGGCTGGGATACTGTAATTTTAAATCACTTAGGCCTATTGTATGGATCCGGCGCGCACACCCAAAGAGCGTCGTTTGATATCAGGCACAAA